CGCGGGGGGAGAGCGGGCCAGAGGAGCATGTTCTTCCCTACACCCCCCCCCCCCCCCCCCCCGCCCACACGCGCCGGGATCCTCCCTTTGCCGCTCCCGACTGTCCGTTCGTGCTGACAAGGCCACGCTCAACAGGCTGCCTGACAAGCGATGCATGCTCGGGGGCCCAGACACACGCCAGACACGTTGCGCTCCGTTTCTCCACCACCGCCGCCCGCGCCTCGAACGTGGCTGGAACGGCAGAGGCCAGCTTTACATTCTTACAAGATCACGGGGAAATCAAGGACACGCACACCCCCACATCACGCAACAGCCCCAGCAGGTGATACACATCGTCCGGTGTGTTTGTCCTCCGGCCTGGGACCACGGTCGGGCTGAGTTCGCCGAGCTGCTGCAGGTGCCAACAGATCGCATGCAGAGTATGCTCACCATCAAGCAGGGGCCAGATCCTGGCGCGAGGTCGAAGAGGGGATCAACAAGGAGGGAGGGAGGGAGGAAAGCAAAGCAATAAACAAGGGAGGCGTCCCCAGCCAAAGGGCATATGTTACAATTTGAACCATCGTTTGGTGGCAAGATTCCGCCAGAGCATCAGAGGGCAGGAGGGGGAGCAAAGATGGCCGAGCAAGAGGGAGGAGGACGCACAGTTTCAGCAGGAAGCAATAGCGCTCATCGCGTTCCGAAAGGAGATGGCATCCCGAGTGCAGCGGGTCGAGCGCTTCCGACCCGGGCGGCGCCTCAAAGCGCCCGAGCGCCGGCGGAGTCGCATGAAGGCCACCCACCGGGCCCCCGGACCCATGGTGCAGATCGTCCTCCAGCGAGTGACGATGGCCGGCCGGCACATCGTCAGCATTGGAGGCCACCATGTGTGGCGAGGGGGCGCCGGAGGCTGCTTCGGCCGCGGCCGCCGCGGCATACGCCGCCGCCACTGCCGCACGACCTCGCGGTGCATGAGCCCCTCCGCCGGCTGGGTGGCCCTCGTGCGACGTGAGACCCGGGCCACCGGCTCCCGATGCCCGGAGAAGGTCAGTCTCATCCAGGGGAGCGTGCGATTCCAGCCCGGCCGCCAAGAAGCCCTGGCTGTCGCCCTCGCCCCAGGACAGTCCAAGTGGATACTGGTGGTGTTGCGACGAAAGCTGCTGATGGGCATGGTGGCGGGGCTGCTGTGGCACAGACTCCAAGGACAGCTGTTCCACGGGTAGCTGCTCTGGCAGCGGCAATCCCAGCGCATGGGCCGTCGGAGGCATGGCTTGTAGTTGGAGAGGCATCAGTGCCGCCATCGAGGCGGCCCAATCCATCGGCATCGGCATCGGCATCGGCATCGGCATCGGCATGGCCTCGCCGGCCACGCCCAAGGGCGAAAAGAGCCCCGGGGCAAGGGACGAAAAGTCCATCATCCCAAAATTCCCCAGGCTCCCATCGAGTGACCCGAGCGGGGAGAAGGCCGGTCCGGGGGTACCATGTACAGCAAGCCCCGCTGGCATGGGGAATGCCGGTGCCAACATCGGCAACGAGCTCGAAGCCGGACCGGCCACCGGCCGAGCCAGGGCATCGCGTAGCAGCTGCGTCGCGCGGGCAAAACGCTCCGCCGCCAGTGGCATCGCAACCCCGGGAGCCAAGCCGACCGGGGCAAAGGGAGGAAGGAGCCTCGGAAAGACGTGCAATTCCTCCACCAGCCCGCGCCGGAGCAACCACACAAGCCGCCGAAGGAGAGAGCCCCGGCCCTGGCCCGGATGCTTCAAGCCGGCTGTCGCCATGGTCATGACCTCCTGCAAGGGGGCACCGCGGGCAAAAAGCCCAAGTAGGTGGGCGAGGTCACCGAGCCAGCGCCCGGCTCCGATCGGACTTGAGTCCCACCGATGGCCAAAGCGCTCGGCGTACTCCCGCTGGGCAAGGGCCCATGTCTCGGGGACCACGCGCGGGAGGAAGCGCGAAAACCCCCGCGGAGGATAGCACACGACGGCCAGGCCCCAGGAAACCAGGTGTCTTGCGGCGGCTGTCAGTGCCGCTGGAACCGACCCAACCCCCGGGAGATCCGGCACACAGAGGCCGGCCTGGAGGTCGGAAAAGCTGGGCAGCCCAAGTATGCACGCGGATAGGTACAAAAATAAAGATAAATATAGATGTGTGTGTGTGTGTGTGTGTGTGTTGGAGGCATTTGAATGGGCATGTGAGTGCGCAGCGAGGGCACCGGGGCGGGAGAGAACACGCAAAGCCAAACGAGGGTGCCCGGTGATCTGACCAAAAGCGCACCAGGTGAAGGGATCGGATGCGATGACCAGCTCACGCAGGAGGGAGGAAAACCCCCCAGGCAGGGCCGCAAGGACACGCTGTTTGTGCGTCATGCGCGGTCGCCGAGCCGGCTCGTGGTCGGCCTCCTCGGGGAGTTCCTCGTCCGAGTCGGAGTTCACGTGCAGGAGCTCCGACAGTTCGAAGGCATTGAAATGCCCAGACAGGTGACGGCCCTTCCGGGCGCCAAGCGCATTTGCCTGGTGATTTGATTGGACATCCTCGCCAATTTGGCATGTCAGCAGCAACGTGTGAAATGGGCGGATGGCCACCGACACCGAATCCAAATCGTCCTCCAACTGGCCCGCGGAGTCAGCCCCGACGGCCGCCTCGGTGCCGATGACAGGCGGCCGCAGGATCGTCGTGGCGGTCGGAACCGGCAGGCGAATCCACCGATTGAATGTAACCTCGCGAAAGGTCGGCACCGGCAGCGAGTGGGATTCATGCTCGCGGCCTGACAGGGCCCTGGGCACCTGGGCACCGCCCAGCGGGCGTCGATCCCCGAGGCAGTCGAACATTCGCGCCAGCCCGCGGGCCAAGTCGCTCCGGCGAAGGATTTCCCGCATGACGGCCGACTCGATCGATTGCATTCCCCCGGCCGGCGTGCCACCCTGATACTTAGCCACCGTGTCCGCCAAGAGGGAGCACTCACGGGTGACATATCCGGTGCGCGATTGCTCCCGGGCCAGGATGTTGGCTGCCCGGCGCACAACCAGATCATATGCCCGATCGACCACCGACCGCGAGGCCGACCGACGGGCCACAAGCACGACGTGGAAGAGCTGGAGCTCGGATGCCCGGCCAGCATCCTGAGCATCTTCATGGTGCAGATGCGGCGAACCGGTGGCCTTGACCGTGCCGCCGTTGCTGATACCGGTGGCGAGCGCCGGCCCTCCGGTCCCGATGCCAGTGCCAGCCCCGGCCAGGCCGGTCCCTCCACCGGCTCCGGAAGAAAAGGACTCGGACAGGTAGAGCCCGGTGCGCGATTCAAGACTCGGGCCGGACTCGGTGCCGAGGGCCCTGGACCCCGGGCCCGGATGCACCTCGATCGGGTGGCCGATGAAGAGAACATCATCAACACCCAGCTCAAAGCGCTTGTTGCAGCTTGCCCGCCGGGGAGTCAGCAGATCCGAGAGATAGTGAATGTCGATGCCGAAAAGATGGCCGCCAAAAGCCTGTGCCCGAGTTAGGGTGCTGCTGGTGGAGCTGGAAGATGGGCCGCCGCCGGTGGTCGCCGGCGCACTGCTACCGCTGCCGCCACTACCGGTGGAGACCGGCCCGGGTGGTGCGGTGCCGGGCGTGCTGGAGCCGGTGGTACTGGCACTCGGCATCGTCGATCCAAGGGCAGCCGTGGTGCCGGATGCCGGCTGGGAAGTAGGGCTCCCGGGAGAGGAAGTGCTGGCACCGACGACCCCGGCACACATGTCACACATGTGCAAGGGATCCGGCGTTTCATGCAACGGACAGACGGACCACTGTGACGGGGCGACATGTGCTGGGAAGGCCGATGCCCCAAGGAGGGAGGGGGGGTGGGGGCAAGGTGAGGAGAGGGAAGGCAAGGGCGACGGTGGATGGCAGCGTGGCAACCTCCCCATGAGGGGGCTGGTGAGATGAGGCAGGCGCACCGGCGCCCGAGTCCGAAGACCCACCCCCTGACTCGAGGCCCGACCGGTCGGAGCCGCCTTCAGTCAAATCGGCCTCCGAAAGGAAGTGTTCGGCATAGTCTCCAAGCCCCGGGCGGAAGTCCGATGCCGCGATGAAGGGCTCAAAGCCGGCCAAGTCAATCGGCAGATCGGAGCCGAGGCCGAGATCGCCCTTGGGCCCGGGGGGGCTACCTGTGCCGGCGGCGCCCGGGTGTGCTTCATCTAGATCTGCCGGCACGACGAACCCGGGCGCCGGGGGGTATGCAAAAGTCAGCTTGTGCCCGGCGCGCTCATTGACCGCCAGCAAAATCCCGATGAAGGGTGACACATCGGTCGCCGTGCTAGCGGGCATCGCCGCTGCCACGGCTTGATCCATGGCGATTTCCATGGCAGCAAGCCGTCAAGGAGGCAGGGAGAGAGAGAGAGGGACAGAGAGGCGAAGTATGCAGAGTGCGGAGGCGCGCGCGGGGGACGGCGGAGGCAGAGTCCGACAGAAAAGCAGCTGGGAGGGAGGGTCTGGGTGGGGCTGCCCCAGCGCCCATTGCTTCCTCGGCCTGGCGTCTGAAGGGCAATTTTCACCTCAAAGCCGCGGGCTTGAGGAGGGGTCCTTCGGCGAGTTTCGAAGAGTGTGGCCGTCCTCCCCTCCGTCTGGGCAGCAGCAGGAGCGATGGTTCATCAGGCCGATACTGGGGGCCTCCTGCCCCCGGACCTCCCTGGCAAGCTGCGGTTTGTAGAGGGCACTGGAAGATCCAGAGATAGTTTGAACTCGATCACGTGAAGTTGGACGGATCAGCCCGCACATTGTGGGTAATAGTGGGACTGGCCGTGGCGCATGCACCCGTGCGTCCAACACTTTTGGAGTGCACCGGGGGGGGGGGGGGGGGGGGGCGGCGGCCACTTCCGTCCGCATCAGGCATCCAAGAGGGGGTTGCTCACGCCGAGACCCGAGCCCGACCGATGACAAGGGAATTAATCGTTCCCCGAAGTGCGCAGGTTCGGCTCCTCCCCCCCTCCGGTCGCGTATATTCCCTTGTCCCTCGCCCAGATGCTCCCTGCCCCCTCGCCCCCTCTCCATCCCAAGGGGGGGGGGGAGTGTGGGTGGCGGGGAGGAGGGCGAAAAAAAGGCGGCGAGGCCTCGTGAGGGGGCCAAGGAGAGGCCGGGAGCCGGGCCGGCCGGCGCGCCCGAATGCGCACCCGCCTGCCTTTTCTCTGCTCCCGATCGATGCCTGCATGCCGGATCACGGTGCCTTAGTCCCTGGATTGGCCTTACTGAGCAGGGAGCCCGCCCCCTGAAGTGCCCCCCTCTTCCCCTCTTGTCGCGCCAAGGTACGGTTGGGGTTGGGCCCTGGTTTCATATGCCTCATTGTCCCACTCGCCATGGGCCGCGCGCAAGTGGGAGCGGGGGGGGGGGGGGGGGGGGGGGGGGGGGGGGGGGGGGGGGGGGGCACCCATGGTGCGGATTAATTC